CATAACTCGGAAATTTGAAAAGCTAAACGACTGTAGTTTTAGGAGGATATTCCACGTTCATCTAAGTCTCACTGAGCTCAAACTCAGACTCCGGGTACGCGTGGTACCCACATACGGGCCTGCCAAAGTTTTTTTTTCGGGTAAGTTGCTAACTCGGGAGCCAGGGAAGCTTGGAAGCTAAAATTTTAAGGGGGTGTTTTCTAATAGTTCTGGCGGCCAATCTTAATTTGTTTAGTTAGAAGCATTTGCCGGAAAAACCGGTACTGGCAGCGAAAAAAACTGCGGGGAACTATGCAAAAAACGCATCTTCGCACGGACAGTCCGTGCGTTGGCTAGTTATTTTATTTTGGTTTTTCAAAAAAAAGTTCTCTACAGTTAAAAATCGTTCAAAATTTCCTATTACGTTTTGAATTATCCGGAAGATTTTGTTAGTTTCTGGTCGAAATGGGTATGTGTTTCCGAAATGATTTCAGAATTATTCAAGAAAATCTCAATACGAAAATGAAAATTGGTTTGAATGGTACGCTAGACGAAGAGAAGAATCTATGAGAACATCTTGGAAGCCGGGGTAACATTTGCTGAAATGTTAAATAAAAGCGCAGCCTTTAATTTGTGCTTCTGGGATATTTTAGAACACATGTGAGCAGTCGGCTGCCCGCGGGCGGAATCCGGTCTACGATCGGTTTCAATTCGGCCCGCGGGGGAAATCGGAATGCAGTGACTAACTAGACAAACGAGGGGTTTTTACTCCGTCACACCTCTGCACTCTCATGAAAATAATCAAAAATAAAATACGTACGAGGTCTAACAGACGACATTTTGGAAAATACTTGATACTCTGTGCCATTGATCTAGATTTCAATAATCTTGTGTCAAAAATTCAAGTTCAGAGCTCGCATTAACCTGCTGTTTATTTTTATGCGTTTTTGCTATGTAGCGCTATAGCGATGCTATAGTGAGCAAAAACCCATATTGTCGCGAGATCGCCCGTGCTTGTGCGTTTGTTTGAATGCAAGTGAGCTCTGTCACCCACTTTCAACTCAGCAACCAGGAAAGTTGGGAGACTGAGATTTTGGGGTCATGCCCCCACCCCATGTTCCACCCTTCCGTTTTTAAAATGTTCGTTTATACGCGCTTAGATCTCGCGTACGGATTCCCGAAAAAATATGCAGATTCTTTGGCGGGAAAGGATTTCTTGAACCAGACAAGATAGAAAGCTGAAACTTTGCAGGTATATTTTGCATGTATGAGCTAAAGACTTCAAATTCAGCTATTACACACGCTTGTACCGCACGTATAGTCACGTCGAAATTCAGTATTTAGCAGTGTGCTA